CTCCAGTGTATACAGCACAGGTGATATTCAACAAGTTCTGATCAGTTCTGGAGAAAAATTTGAGTATTTCAGAGAACTTTGACTGGCCCCGCCCCATCTATTCTCTGCCTCCCAAGTCCCAGCTGATCAAGAGAGAGTGGAGATTTTACAGTATTTATCCCCTGTCATACCCACCAAGCCATGCCCACCAAGCCACACCCACCAAATCATGCCACATCCACCAAGCCATGTCCACAGAACAGGTAGTAAAAAAATTTGAATCCCTCAATTGGTATACAGTCTTCATATTGTTTCTTCTGAGTTATTTACTTGATTGAATCTATACATACATCTAAGATACATTAAATTTACAAGACTATTTGATTTATTTTAATTTTTTTTTCAAGGTTTCAGGACTATCTTGTGAAATGGCTCTCCTGATCTTTGTCTTGGTCTTAACTTTTATCCAGGTGGAATTTGAAAGCGGTGAGTATTTAAATAAACATCAGAAAAATTAACTATGTTAAAAAAAATGTAGGTGTAGTTTGTCCCTTTAGCACACATTGTTGGCTTTCAACCCACAGATACCTATGACAGAACAAGTAACAATCAAGACAGGCTTACTACATATACATTTCATATATCATAATGAATTAAAACCAATTTAATTAAATCAAATAAATATTTTAGTCATAGTCCAGAAGAATTTAAAACATCTGAGTTTAAATAGTTCAGCTTTGTTTCTTTCCATATACATATATTTATTTTAAAAATTTATTATAATAGTAAAATCTAATACAAACTAAACTTAAAGGAAAAAAAGAATAGAAAGGAGTAAAAAGTGCAAGAAAAAAGAAAAAAGTAAGAATATAATAAAGAGAAAAACATATAAAGAATTGATATTCAGCCTTTATCACACGTATAAAACATAGTGATTCTTTACCTGCCCCCAAGGTTATAAGCATTTATTTCTTCATTCCAAATCCTATTATCTATAATATTATCTTTAATGCATCTTATAAAAACCAAAATAAAATCTATTGCCCATAAGAAGCTATCTTATCTCTACAATTAATTACAACGTCTTCATTCTGCATTTCATTTATATATATAATATTTCTTACTTTCGTTATGCCTTCTAAAAACCAAAATTAAGTACATCACTGCATAAATTAAGTGAATTGTGCAGTTTAATGGATTATGGTAATGATCTTGGGGAAATAAGGGAAGAGATGCTACCCAGGAAACAATCAGACAAGGAAGGCAGGAGCTCCCATAGCTTAGCAGTCAATGAAAGAATCTTAGAAAGGACCAGGGGTGGGTTGTTGCCAGCATTATTGCCGGTTCGGTCTGCACACATCTGCATTTGCACATAAATAGGTTTGCGCACGTGCCAAACGTTAAAAAAAAATCACAATTAAATTGTGCAGAACCAAAAATCAAGATGGCACCATTATAGGAGAACTGGTTCAGGGGCATGGCAGGCCTGGGTCGCTGCCGGTTCCAGCAATCCAGGTCAGCAAACCACTACCAGTTCGGCCAAACCGGGCCGAACCGGTAGGAACTCACCACTGGACAGGACCCACCCTCAAGGACCATGTAGAAAAAATGATGGCGGGAAGTTTTTAAAGCTTACTATTGTAAGCAGCCTTACAATAAAGTAAATTTAGGTAATGTAGCTGTGTTTCTTGTCTGGTTTACCTTGGACGACTGACATGCGATGGTTAAACAAATCTGGCTTCCCCAAGTGACTTTGCTTGTTGGAAGCTCGCTGGCATCTTTTCAAATCACAATCATGTAACCGCAAGACATAGCAACTGTTGTAAATGTGAGCCACTTGCCAAGCATCCAAATTGCAATCATCTGACTCCAGAGGTGGTGTGACAGTTATAACTTCAAGCAGTGGGTTGGGCTAGAGGACCTCTGAGGTACCTTCCCTCTCTATGATTCTATGTTCTGTGTTCTAAGGATAGGTCATAAGGACTTGTTTCCAAGGCCTTTGAACTTTTGAATTGTCATTAAATGAACAGTAGCAAGTAAGCAAGCAAGCAAGACTAACTGTACATGGTCCCATAATGCTGAAAGCTTCAGTTGTCTTAGAAAATTGAGACAATGAAATCCCTCAAACTAATCAGTTCAGCTCTCATTCCAGAGGAAAAAAATAAGGCTCCAATATTCCTATTATGCTGAATTTCTTGACAATAAAGGGTTAGAAAATGTGGGTTTAGTTGTTTTATTCAGAAAACTGAAATAATAATGAAATTACATTTGAATGTCTCTTTGTCAGAAAAACACATTTGTCAGGTGTGTTACATACTAGCTTTAACTATAGTGGTTTCCACCAAGGTTCTCTGTTCCAGTGGGAACAGAGGTTTAATCTCATTGGTCGAAGGGTCTGACAGCGCCCTATAAAATGGCTGCTGTCAGACTCAGCCTTCGCTGGATTGTTCTCACTTGTTGCATTTAATAAAGAGCTGTTGTTACCATTAGCCTGTGTGTGCCTTTCCATTACCCGATCTAACACTGGCGACGAGGTGGGATTGGAAGGCAACTAGGCAAACCAAAAGGAGCGTAGCAATCCAGCAAGTACATCCAGCCCGGAACTCAGCGCGGCTTCGAGCAGCCATTTTTGAGCGACAAACTCAAAATGCCCTCAGGTCACAAAATGGCCATGCATGACCCAGCGACTCCGTATGACACAGTCACCGAGCACTGGGATTCGTATATGCTCCGTTTTGACTGCTTACTTGAAACCAATGACCTCATAGGCCTTTCTGAAGGCCACAAGAAGCATGCTCCTCAGTTACTGTGGACAGGAAGTGTTTGAAACTGCCAAAGACATGTCAGAACCAACGCCACTACAATCGGTCGCTTGGTCCATGCTCCAGCAGATGCTGAGGACCCCTACACTCCTAAGCCATCTAAGCACATCTGCCAGCATGAATTTAACATTTGCAACCTGCGGGAAGGCAAATCAATCAACGAGTACATTGTGGTGCTACAAAAGGCCACAGCGTACTGCGAGTTCCAAGACCTAGACGAACTTGTTCTTGACCACATAATTTGCAGTGTGCAGGAAATTAATTTACAGAGAAGGTTACTTGCCAAGTTTTACCTCACTCTGCCAATTACCTTGGACGAAGCCAGGGTGTCAGAATCAGCCATCAAGTCCACAGAGACCCTGCAGCGTCAAAACACTCCGCAAGATGCACAGAAGAATACACGTGTTCACCACGGGACTGCAGAGGCCGAGAGCTCTGAAGGTGAAAAAGATGACAGCTACCACATGCGCAGTAGCTGCACCAAGCCAGCACACAAATTTGAACAATTCCCGCCTTGCGCTAGTTGCAGAGGAGACCATGCCCGATCGGCTTCCATTTCCGCGACACTACCTGCCAGCACTGTGAGTGTAAAGGGCACATCACCAAGGTGTGTAGAAGCGAGCACCCCACGACAACCTGGCAGCCAAGAAGCTGAACTAACCGCCAGCAGAGGCCCAACCAAGGAGCATGGCAGAAGCCACCACAGCGCTCAGAGGGCAAAGCCAGAGTCACCTACCATACCTCAATCGGCCAAGCCCGTACTAGGTGGCTGAAAAAGCTGAAGGTCACCGTCTTCATCAAGGGCTCTCCATGAGAGATGGAGATCAACACGGGGTCATCACTGACCATCATGCCATGGTCGACGCTCAAGCGGGCTATCCCTAGCCTGAAGAAGCAGCATCTACGCGCCCCTGACATCCGGCTTTGCGATTACCAGGGGAACTAACTCCCCATCGTGGGCCACGGCTCCTTCCAGGTGCAATTCAAGAAGTACAGTGGCCAACTCCCAGTGACAGTGGTCAGCGGCAGCCTGCAGAGTCTCCTGGGGCTTGACTAGTTCGAAGCTCTGCGCCTCGAAGTGACTGGTATCAACGCCTTGAAAGATGAAAGCACTGAAGTGATTTTTAAGGAGTTCAAGGACGTCTTCGGCACCAGTCTTGGTAAGTATGTGGGGGCTCCAATCTCCTTTAATTTGGACCCCAACATAGCCCCCATAAGGCTAAAGCCCAGGAGAGTGCCTTTTGCTCTCCGCCCCAAAATAGATCTGGAAATTGACAAGCTCGTAGCCCAGGGAATCCCAGAGCCAGTTGATCACACACACTGGGAGACTCCTATAGTGACACCTTCCAAATCTGATGGGTCTGTCTGCATCTGCAAGGACTACAAATGCACAATCAATAAAGCATCACAACAAAGCGCTTACCCTGTACCCAGTGACATGCGGTGAGGCTTATGGCTGGTGAGGCACTGACACAATTTTTTTTAGACTTGTGGACTTCAACTCCCAGGANCTTGTCTGGTTTACCTTGGACGACTGACATGCGATGGTTAAACAAATCTGGCTTCCCCAAGTGACTTTGCTTGTTGGAAGCTCGCTGGCATCTTTTCAAATCACAATCATGTAACCGCAAGACATAGCAACTGTTGTAAATGTGAGCCACTTGCCAAGCATCCAAATTGCAATCATCTGACTCCAGAGGTGGTGTGACAGTTATAACTTCAAGCAGTGGGTTGGGCTAGAGGACCTCTGAGGTACCTTCCCTCTCTATGATTCTATGTTCTGTGTTCTAAGGATAGGTCATAAGGACTTGTTTCCAAGGCCTTTGAACTTTTGAATTGTCATTAAATGAACAGTAGCAAGTAAGCAAGCAAGCAAGACTAACTGTACATGGTCCCATAATGCTGAAAGCTTCAGTTGTCTTAGAAAATTGAGACAATGAAATCCCTCAAACTAATCAGTTCAGCTCTCATTCCAGAGGAAAAAAATAAGGCTCCAATATTCCTATTATGCTGAATTTCTTGACAATAAAGGGTTAGAAAATGTGGGTTTAGTTGTTTTATTCAGAAAACTGAAATAATAATGAAATTACATTTGAATGTCTCTTTGTCAGAAAAACACATTTGTCAGGTGTGTTACATACTAGCTTTAACTATAGTGGTTTCCACCAAGGTTCTCTGTTCCAGTGGGAACAGAGGTTTAATCTCATTGGTCGAAGGGTCTGACAGCGCCCTATAAAATGGCTGCTGTCAGACTCAGCCTTCGCTGGATTGTTCTCACTTGTTGCATTTAATAAAGAGCTGTTGTTACCATTAGCCTGTGTGTGCCTTTCCATTACCCGATCTAACACTGGCGACGAGGTGGGATTGGAAGGCAACTAGGCAAACCAAAAGGAGCGTAGCAATCCAGCAAGTACATCCAGCCCGGAACTCAGCGCGGCTTCGAGCAGCCATTTTTGAGCGACAAACTCAAAATGCCCTCAGGTCACAAAATGGCCATGCATGACCCAGCGACTCCGTATGACACAGTCACCGAGCACTGGGATTCGTATATGCTCCGTTTTGACTGCTTACTTGAAACCAATGACCTCATAGGCCTTTCTGAAGGCCACAAGAAGCATGCTCCTCAGTTACTGTGGACAGGAAGTGTTTGAAACTGCCAAAGAC